AGATAGCGCTATTTAAGCAATAGCGAAAATCAGACCTGATTTTCTACCAATCAGAGCTTGTTAGCTCAATTGGTAGAGCGCTGCACTAGTATCGCAGAGGTCAGTGGTTCGAGTCCCGTACAGGCCTGATTTTTTTCAGGTCTGATTTTCGCTATTGCTTAAATAGCGCTATCTACTGCGAGGATCGTGTATCATAAGTACTGCAGTAAGTCAAATAGGGCAAGACTGCAGCCTTATACAGCTGCAGCTTAGCAATGGTTGGTATCAAGTTGCGCAACCTTGTCATTACTCCCACTCTCTGACTAGCTTTTTTGCAAATCTCACTTATACGGACATTAAAAGTCAATTGAGAATAAATGCGTACGCCTAATAATTTAATATTCTGATAGTGGGGAAACTCTATTACCGTCTATGTCAATATTGATATTGGCATCTTTTTGCTTGCTAATGAGCATGCTACCATATTTGGTAAAGTTTCTCTGTAAATAGTTCTCTTTATACCAACTTGTTGCTGCAACTGCACTCTCCTGTATTCTTGTTTGGATTAACTGGACATCTTTACTCGCTTCGAAAAACTGGTGATCATCCGCATACATGGAGATATTCTACTTCATTACATAAGTCAGATCATTCTGATAAAGATTCCACATCAAAGGCCCAAGAGAAGAGCCTTGAGGGCACCCTCTTACCAGCTTCCTCCATCCGCTTGTTGTGTTCCCTAGCTTCACTCTTGCTTGGCGATTTTCAAAATATGATGCCAATTGATATTGGAGTACGAAACTTAAAGTAAAATTTAAAATGTTTCTGCAAGAAGAGGTGGATAATTCAGTTCCCCAATTTACCAAGTGTATGGATATGAAAAAATAGTTTGGTTGCTCGACGCTTAATGAAGGGCAAGAGATTATCAGTTTGTTATCTTTTGCTGAAGGGTGAATATTTTTGTAATGCAAATGTGGTCTTGTAGGTCTGTCTAACTCTAGTAAAATTGTTATCATCTTGGGAGTTTTTTCGCTTTCGAGTTAGAAATGCGGTAAACAGTAGTAATTGAAATAGTACTGTAGTGCAAATATCGCCAATGTATTGTATCGTGAATATAATGATTCTTGTTGCGTTACTTAATATTCGCTTGCTGTAATACAGTGGCTTTTTGTTTTTGTTTTGTAAAGTTAATGTTGTATTGAATGAAAAAATATTAAAATAGATGAATTAATTTGACTTGTTTATTTTTTCGCCTATTTGAAAATCCTCAGGATCGATTTTTCGGTATATTAACATAAAAGTACTTCCCTTGTCTAACTCTAAACCTGATCTTAAATCTCTCGAGATTTCTTGGATGTGAATCAAATGCACATTCTTAATAGTGTAATTAGAAAAAAAAGAAGGAAAAAAGAAAAATACAGGAAATATTCTGCGACCATTGTTAGCTCAGATTTGGTCCTACATTTATCCAAAGTGCTTTGGTGTCCTTTGAATGCGTTAATTAAAGGAAATAAGAGTTGACCGCGTGAAAATCGAAAAAGGAGACACGGTAAAAAAGTTGAAAACTTTCATTTTTTACCCGCAGAAACCCTATAGTGAGTCTTTGGCTTCAGTAAATCACCCAGACCCAGGCAGTTTTGATAATTAATGACATCATGCTTGACTTCATAAAGCTCTTATAAATACTTCGTATATATAGCCCATCTAATATTTTTGTTCGCTCGTGATTGATCCAAACGTATCAATCACCGAGAACATCCAAGGGATATTTTGTTTGTTCATAACATCGTAAATGAGAACACTAAAAAGTGAATATGGCATGCAACAAACGGTAAGCTATCCATAAACACTTTTTCCTGCGAGTTGCTAAATATTGGAAGCAAACTAAACACAATAGCCTTCATTTGGGGCGAAAAAATGCTCTTATAATTATTTTTCCTTGGACATTATCTATTCCTCGAGGCTCACAATGTCTTTTACATCAGGACATAATCTAATCAGGCAACCTGTTTTTTAATCTGGAAACACATGCAAACTTGGCGGTCAGAACTGTACTCGATCAGAAAACCAACAGAAAAAATTTAACCTTGCATAGACAACGATGGCCATTGTGGTTATTATCCCTGCTTTCGTTTCAGATTCTCATCTCTTTCCCGTTGCGAAGGTGTTTATCTGATAACACATTCCGTAAGGGAGCAACAGGCGTCTGCTCTTGTTCACATACTTGAACACAGTTAAGGGAGCAGTAGGCGTCTGTTTTTCTTCACGTATTTGGACACTTTTATGGTAGCACCTTTCAAAATCTTATCCGTAATGAAGGGCAAGAAGCTAAGTACACATTGAGTAACAACTTCCTCTGCCATAGGTGTGAATATGTACAACTTCTGTAAGGGAGGTTGTCAAGACTGGAAACTCATGCATTTCCTTTAATTTCTTATGGTACATTTAGGTACAAAGATAAAAGGCCTGATCTTTTGTCGGAAGGACCTCCACTTCTCTACTGAAATATTCAGTTTATCGGGCTGGGGAGATCATTTTCTGATAAATAAGTAGAAGGTTCTTGCGTCATCTTTACGAGATATCGTGAGTGTTGTTTTGGAAGACTGTGAGTTTACAATAATGGCAGACAAAAAGTTTGAAAATTGAAACTGGATTTTTGTGTCGTTCATTTTTAATTGACAGTGCAATGGTGCTTCTTAGGATACACGCGTAGTAACAAAAAAACATGTTAGCTATGGGGAGCTTTGTGAGTAACGAGACGCTTCTTAAGTTTTTGAATAGGCTGACGGCTGGTTCCCTCAACAAATTAGTAGAAGTGTGTCTTAAAAGCAGATGCATATTTTCTGCCTTGAGTTGTCTCTACAGAGTAAACTTCTGTTTACTTTTAAAGCATTAATGTCGCAACCTATCCGAAGTGAAAAGCTTTAGCTACGTCATAATACGCAAGATTTCGCGTGAGTCTTTATCCCTAAAAACACTAAATGAAAAGGCTGCATCGCGCAGATTTTAGTTATAAGGAACCTTAAGCAGTCAGGACGGCAACAATAAGGAAGACGTTGATTAAAAAATGAATTTCTGTTTTTAATTAAAATTTGGAAAATGGCTCTATGTATTTACCGTCTCTTACGGCGCCACACCTCAACCTCAACCTTACGTATAAAAATAGCGTAGAGTTCCAAATGGAAATTAAAATAATTTGCCGTCGCGGTTTCGGTTTGCAGACGATGCAAATATTGGTGATTTCACGTTGCTGTTTTCCAGAGGACGGCTAAGAAATGTACTAAGCCGTTTTAAAACGCGCGTGGTGAGCTATTGTTTTGCCAGTTCGATCTTTTGTTTTTCCACGTCCTCGTTGCCGTCGCTTTCGTTGTTTGCTTAAGGTCCCAATAATAATTAAATGGCAGACAGCCCAGAATTGAGCCTTATCCCTGTCTATCGGTTTGATATCTTTAATAATTTACCACGATGACTTCCAGGATAATATTATGGCATAATTACACCAAATAAAATGTTTACAGGGTTATATATAGCCTACGAATGTACTTCGGGAATCACTGGGAAATTGTGTGATTTAAAACTGTTGCATTAATTTTGGCCCTGTACCAGCTGTGTTTGCAATAATGATATCTTATTAACCAAGCGGGAGGGCCGTACTGGGAGAATATCGGCCCGAAGTCTTGACAGTACGGACCGAGCGTAGCTCGGTCCGTGCAAAAAAGACCGAGGGCCGATATTCTTCCAGTACGGTCCCGAGCAAGCTTAGTTAATAAGAGATTTTTTGTACGACTGAAGTTCATAAGGGACACAAGTGCGGTATCATTCGGAACCATTCGGGACAGTGCCCGGTCCAATAATGAGAGAATATTGACCGGCAATAAAGCATTTTGATTGGTTGATTTTAGTTATTGGCCTTCTGACTGCCCGAGTCGTGTAATAACCATGTTTATTATCCAACTACACTTCGTAGAGTACAAATAACGCCATAGACGAGTACAAATATCACGCGGTATTTGTACTCTAGAGTACCGGTTAAACAGATTTTCTCGCATCGCGCAAGCGAAGAGTTGAATTGTAGTTACGAAAAAAAAATGGCGGACAATTTGAATCATATTTCCGACAACGTAGAGTCAGAATGGCTGGCAAATATGCATCCAAGTGTATTAGATGAATCCAACAAAGAAAAACAGCTAATCGACCTGGAGATTTCTTCATTTATTGAAGAAAGTAGAAACAACAACACGAAAACGCGCCAATTCCGTTCCGCTTCGCATTCTTCTGTCACACACTTCTCCTAAATAGATATCCGCGAAATAGTCCATTTTACAGTTGTGTGCTTGGTTGCCAAGCCTTTGAAG